GAGGACGTCTCTGAGAAGACCGTCTTTTCCCTTAGATCGTATATGTGGCTCTAAATAAAAGCTACACAGCTCAAGAGAGCAAAACATCAAGAAACCAGCTGCTTCCATTGCTGCTGGTTTGCGCCCAGCCATCCTGCAGACCCGCTCCCCTAGGCAGCATCTGAAAGGCTGAGCTTCAAGCAGCCACCAGCAAACCAGCTCCTGCCTCGGGGTGGGGAATTCCCAAACTGGGGGTTGCTGGGAGCACGGTGACCCTGCAAAGGGCCCTGCACGGCTGCGATGCAGCCCAAGGCTGGAGCAAAGGTCTGTCTGTTCAGGGCCAGGCCGCTTTGAGCTGTTCCCGTGACCAGGCAGCCCTGGGCTCAGTTCATCCCTGCCGTTAAACCAAGTTGATCGGTGCTTTATGTAACCGGAGTGGTACAACACCACAGTAGCGTCTCCGGGAATCTGTCCCAATGCACGCTGCTGGGAATTTGTATGCCAGGAGTGTCTCGCTGTGCTGGATGTTGCACGCGTACATAAAGCAAGAGACGGTGGTACACCCATGCTACGGTGGCAGATGTGACTGCAGAGCTGCCCGCACTCCCTCACACTGGTTACGTTCAGGTAGCGGTAGTCCTCCAGCCATGGCAACATGAAGATCAGGGCAGGCCAATTTGTCCTGCTTCTTAGTAGTTCAATGCAACCCCCTAGCATCGTCTATCTACGCTATACGCTTGTACAACCGCAGTACAGCCATACCCAATCGCTGCCACACAGCTCACTGTGCAACTAGGCAGAGGACGGGGGGAAACACGTGGCAGGGAAAGGAAGCGACTTGGACAAAGTCCCACCCAGCAGGTCAGAAGCAGATCTGGAAGTCTCTTGATTCCCAGCCCTGCACCCCTGTACCACCCTTCACCCAAACTGTTTGCAGGCTGCAAGAGGGAAAGGAAAGGATCTCTGCAGTTCTCTGTTGCAAGGTCATTTTGCTACCTAAAAATCCACGTGGTGCAGAAATTCGCACAAAATACCATTTTATTTTGTTCTTCAATTCCTTGTGGCCCCCTCAAGACCAACCTTAGCATCTGTACATCCTTGGCACTGATTTAAAACACTTCTCAATGATCCAGCTATAAAACTAAATTCAATTTGCTATTCGTAACTATTCTTATTTTAAATGTAAAGCACCAGCTCCTCCATATCAAACCCTTCATCTTTTATCAAGGAACAAGCATAGTGCAGGGAGTTAAACAAGTGTTGCAGGGGACTTCATTTACAGCAGCCAGCTTTCTAGGACCATGCCTTTCTGAAGGAGGCACCGACTTATTTGTGAACAAATGTCAGTGCGTTAAAACATGCCTGTTCCAGCTGGCAGTCAAACTGGCCATTCACAGGCCTGTAATAATATTGCAGTTTTGTACACGTGTTTCTAATACTGGCTCTAAATATTGTGCTTTTTGGCATTTATTACTTCTGCATGATTTACTCCAAAACATGAGACATCACAGACATCAGGCAATGCATTGTCATCGACTCAATGCCTTAGAAATGTTTAAGGACCACGTAAGCATTTTTAGTCATTCCCCCCCCAACACCACACACACGTTCTTAAGTATCCAGCCTTCTGGTTAACAAGACTATCATCGGAGGACATCACAAATCTCCCCGCAGTCACCTTTGTCTTGCTGGGTCCCCATGAACAGGGCACAGTGCAATGTTGTTCTACAATTCTTGAATCACAGTTTAATTTGCTTTTACTTGCCAAGTCTCTTAATTAGCGAATCCCACCCCAGAACAAACACCACAACAGAAGCATCGCTGAGATACTTGGAGAAAAAGAGTCAGGGAAATGGCTGTGCTCCATGCCACAGCTGATGTATGAATTGAGGCTGGTGACATCTACCCGGTAGAGCGCAGGGGGAACGGTGGCTCAGGGGTCTGGCCAGGCCTTTGGTCGCGGTGGTTAGGAATGGCACTTCATCTCAAGCAGCTGGTTTGGCAGAGCGGGGTGAGCACCTATGTTCTAGAGAACCGAACACTGGGTGTGTCTACACATTCGTTAATGCGCCATAATTACTGCGCATTAAGTTTGGTACTTGGATAACTGAATACTAAATCAATGTGCGGTAACTTCTGCTATTGCACAGTAGCACCGGTGCATGGTTTTTTAGTGACACTAACTGTGCAATAGCCTAATACTATTGCGCAGTAACATATTAGCAGAGTTTCTGCCCAGCACACTACTGCACAGTGTTATTAGGCCATTAGGCAGTTCAAGTCCCGTGTAGACGTGCCCACTGAAAACCGACAAGCTGAGACTTGTATCGGCAGGTGATAGCGGAGTGAAGGGCAGTATCTTCAAAACTGGTTGTAAGCTGGGGAAGAGTTAAACAGGGCAGAGGATAAGAAACCCTTGGCCCAGACCTGCGTGAACACAACCTAAATGCTCTGAACGACTGATAATTTAGGAAGCATGTCTGAGTTTCTGCTCAGAAGGCACGGGTGACCTCTCTTTGCACAGGGCCCTGAGAAGCCGTGCTGCTACTGCTCCCAGTGCATTCAGAACAACTTTGGATCAACAGGGAGTCCATGTACCGGTGACTGCAGACGCAGGGGGCTGGACGTGGTGTTGGTAACAGTGGATTCCAGGGTGATGAGCCTTTCCAGGTGGCAGCTTCTAAAGGTGGGAGGGAACAGAGATTGGGAATGGGAGGGCTTTCTTTGATGATTCCTCTCACCAGATCCACCCTCCCCTGTCATTCAATACACTATGTGAGGCATTCGAGACTCACACCATCCGCCTGTAATGCAATCCATGTTAGGTCCTGATCAGAGATGCTTTTAAATACTCGAGGGACAACAGGGAGCACCAAGTTAATGAAGATGTGCAACAGCAGAGCAGTCACCACTGACAGCGCAGCGGATCAGACCGTCGCAGAGACCGGACAGAGGTTGGAAGTCCTGATACACGGAGCATTAAGAGCCAACTCTTGACAGCCTCATACTCATGGGATAATCCAGCCTCTAGCACATGCTAGAGGATATCATCTAGCATGTGCTACAGGATATGATGGAGGGGCTCACAGGAGGCAGGTACTTTGAGGAACAGAAGGGGAGGAGGAGGAGGAGGTTTTGTGTGGGCAAGAGGCTTAGAAGCAGGGGAGCAGGGAGCATTACACGACTTACTCCAAAGATGGTTGCCTCAAAACCCCTTGGAGCTACCCGCCTCTTGGGGAAGTCTAACAGAATTAAGTAGGAATGTGAAGAGTACCTTGACATTCCCTCTCTGTACCAGCACAGCTCCAAACCCAGAGAAGCATGAACAATACCCGATGCTCTGGAATGGCAGAAGAGGCATCCCCCGGCGGCCTGGACTGCTGGCGTCTCCTGCCATCCTCCAAGGAGCGTGTTGGGTTTTCTTTGTGCAGTGGAAAGATGCTAATACTGGCAGAGCGTGTGAGAGCACAGCTTGCAATGCGCAATTCTGCTAGGGACCCACATCCGCTGTGAACTCAGCCGACAGGAACACGGCGCCCAGGCTGCAGAACGCAGCGCTTAGAAAAGTTTGCGCAGGGCCAAGAACTCACAGGGCAAAGGTGTTGAGACTGAACAGGCATTTCCAAGCCTCTGGCTGGCTGCGCCCTACTTGCCGAGAAGCGACCTCACATCCCCGCCTGCCAAGAAGTGACCTCACATTAGGAGGCTGGAAGCATCACCTCACCCATGTTTGAACCCAGATTCCCTGAGATGAAAGGATAAATGAAGCAGCCGTGAAGGGAGGTGTGCTGCGTGCTGCTCCAGAGAATGTCCTGTAATGCTGCAAGGGAATTTAGCACTTAGCTAGCGCTTTTCATCTAAGTGCTTTGCCAATACTGCTTAATTAATGTTCACACCAGCCCCGCGTTCAAATTTGTACTTGGAAAATACTGCACTTTCTCCTGATTGGCGACTGCTCTTTCACATTAGGATATTGCAGGGAGTTGAAGTCTGCTGCTGTTAGTTGCTCTGGGGTAGCACTGGAGAACCCTGCTGACGCTGCAGGGCTGTTAAACAGGAGATGAGACCTGTCCCAAAGCACTTACAATTTCAGGGAAAAAGCTGAAAAGCAAGTTGGTCACAAGAAAACAAATCAGTCATAAAATCACAGAGAGGCAGGGCTGGAAGGGAGCTCCAGAGGTCACATCTAGTCCAACCCCTGCCTGAAGCAGGATCAGCCCTGTCCAAATCATGCAGGCAAATCCACTGTCCAACCTCTTAGTAACACTAATGTCAATCCTGACACAACACGTCCAAACCTGTCACAGGGAAAGCAGGGGGACCACGGCTGCCAATGTCCTGCTTCTGTAAAAGGTGGTCAAGAGATCCCAGGTAGAGACTGTGTCCCTGCTACAAAGGAAGGCAAAACCACCCCTCCCAGTCCATACCAATCTGACCAGGGGGTAAAATGCCTTCCTGACCCCAAATATGGTGTCGGTCTGAACCTGAGCAGAAGGACAAGACTTTGTCGGTCTGAACCTGAGCAGAAGGACAAGACCTTCTAGTCAGGACCCTCCAGCTTTAAGTCCCAGCAGAAGCACTGGCACAAGCCAGTCAAAATCAAAGCAAAATTGACACCTTTTATCTATGTGCTCCTCCTCTGGGTCTTTGCACTTCAGGGCATCTCTATGAAGAGTTACTCAAGAGAACAGGGAGAGAAAGCAGCAAGACAAGAGACCGTCTGCTTTACCTCTGAGGTAAGGGGAGAACTGCAATCGGGCAGAAACTGTCTCTTGTATCATTTAAAACAAACCCATTACTGAAAACGTGCTATGGGTTGCAGCAACGTGTCATTTCATCTACTGAGAGGGAGGCCTAATCAAACAACAGAAGAGAATTGCTATTGCCCCGAGAAGCGAGGCTGTAACACTGATCCTTTTGGAAGAGCAAACGATGATATCTGACATCGCTCCTTTCTGAGGCACAAACACACGAGTGTCAATACGGGAAGACAGGCGCCATGAACCGTGACCTCAGTTCGTTTCACTTCTTGACCTGATCTGCTGCCCCGAAGCAAATATCAGTGCGGCCAGAAGCACTTGGTAGGGTTGGATGTGGGAGGTTCCAAGCACTTTCCCAGCTTCTTGCAGCCTGGAGGAGCCCAATTCTGTTAAAAACCAAGATGGAGAAATAACATCAGTCCTAAAGAACGAACACGGTGCTAAGGTCTGCAAGACAGGATAGATGTAATGAGATCCGAATGACAAGAGCTCTTTTTAATTTCCATTGCACGGGATCACCCTTAAGTTCTGCCTGAAAAAGGCAGCTCCATTTGTGGCTGAGGCTGGCAGGTTCGGTCTTCCTATCACCTTGCAATTTCATCCATACAGTCTTTGGGCAAACCCACAAAACCCCTTTCCAACAGAGCCTCCTTCCAGTAACAGATGCAAGAACTAGGCTCTTCAGAGAGATCTGACCTTCTTTTGCATTAACACGACGGGGAAATATACCTGCGCCCACCTGGCAAAACCTTTCAAAGGCGCTAAAATTGCAAACACCCAACACACTGAGAGACATTTCTGGAGGAAGCAAGTAAAAAAGCAGCAGCCTCTAAAGGCTGAGGGTGAGAGAGATAAGAACATTTGCGTTTTAATGAGCATTTTGACGGATTAGTTTAGGAATTGATGGATTAGGAGGTGCTTAGATGACAACTATTCCAAGTCGTGTGAACCAAAGCGATTTGCCTCCCTTGTTTTCATGTTCCCTGAATTATCTTGTCCCAGCGTGTGTGCAGCCGGGGAGAAACAATGTCAGCAAGGAAACACTGCAGTTCTCTGCATCAAAAGGGGTTACTAGGAAATAGTGGGGTGAACGGGGTTAATTTTTCCCCCAGAATCTACAAGCTAACAAAAATTACAATAAGGGATTGCAATAAAATTAATTCAAAGGGCCACAGTCCTTCTTCTGCCTTTGGAAACCCTCTTCCCTCTGCTGCCAATTGAGAAAACATCAGCTAGTAAAACGCTCATCTTCTGCTGTCTCAGTGCCCAGTCACGTGTGGGAGATCCCTGCTGCCAGTCATTAAAGGTTAGTTGTGCTCGGACCTACTGCCTTATATTTATTTATTTTAATTGAGCCCTTTGTGCTCATTTTAGAAGCAGATTCCTGCAGGGGGAGGGAAACAAAAATTAATGCTAGGGAAAAAAGGCAGGAGCAGGTCTACATCGCACAGAACCGACGACAGATGGCAGTGATGCACCAGCAATCTCAGCAGGCTCGGAAGGAGAGCAAGGAGGGGATGTTGTCTGAAGGCTGCTCCAGGGAGAAAAGGCCCCCTGCAATATGGGAGCAATTGCTGCTGCTTTCTACAAAGTTTTCTAACTTTCTAAGTGCACCAGGATGACTGGGAGTTTCATGGGCTAAACATTCTGCTGGAGCAATGGAAACAGAGGGAATTTCTGCTCTTCTGCATGACTAGGTTGCATCTGTTTCAAGCCTTGAGATGCAAATCCTCTCTGCTGTCGTGAGTCTACACTGTTAGCGCCTGAACACCTCGGATGGGCTGCAAATCCTGCAGACAGGGAACCTGAGGTGGTTCCCGTGCACGCAGGTGATCCCTGTAGGGTCTGCGCTCTGTGAGATCACTTCCACAGACAGGGGCTCCCTGCACACGGAGGGCAGGAGGTACCAGCAGGCAGGTCAGTGGAGCTAACGTCTGTCCTGAGGTGGGGGCAGCAACTACAAAGTGGTACATCTGCTGTCCTCCATGGATGATTCCTGCCCCCTCTCCCTGCAAAGGTACTCAATGTCCAGATCAAACAAATGGGCTCAGCTCCAGCAGCAGGATTTGGGATGCAGGGCTGGGTGCCTTCAGACCCTTTCAGTCCATTTATCATCCGCTATTACTGAGTGATGAATATTGATTAAAGAGAAAGTTAAAAGAAAAAAAAAAGATAGCAGGACAGAGGCATTGTTTCTTCAGCTGCTTCCCCTGCAAAACACCCAAGAATGAAGAGATGGCATAAATCTTATGAGGTGACCTTCCCCGTCTCCTTACTAATGCACGATTTTCCCCCCTCATTTTATATTCTGTGGCTATTTTTCTGGCTGGAAGCAGTCCTCAACCAGTGGGGTTTCCTCTTTTTGCCTTGGGAGACTATTCCATAGTTAGAATTTTTGTTTCTGCTTTTTAATCTATGTTTTCCTTTCCTCACTGACATCCTAGTCTTCCTAGGCATGTCCCCTCCGTCTACACAAAATCATTCTCATTCTGTGAGATTTGCCCTCACACACTGACCAAACTGTCAGGTTCAGGGGGTGCTCTCTAGAAATCAAGGACTCTTCAACACCATCTCGCTTGGAAAAAAAAATCCCCTCTATTCCATATCATTCGTTGTATCGAAGCCATGAAGACTGGAAAAAATTGGTACTGGGTGCTTGGAGGATACAGATCAAGAGAGATGGGCACCAAGGTATCAATTCCACCGCTGCCAAGCCAGCTGAGTTTCGGAGATTTCTGAAGGGGGATAAGAGAGGAGCAGCAGGTGCTGCAGACACTGCGCTCTCTCTAAGGCAGAAAGTTGCACCGTTTATCACGGCACGTTGACAGACTTTCCAAACCCAATTCCAGTAACTTTGTGCTGACCCTTCTGCATGACTCCACTCCCCAGGTAACACACAGCTGCATCCTCACTGGAGCAGCCAGACAGCCTTTCAAAAGGGCTATACAGGATTTCATCCCCTCACCAGCCTGTGCTAGGGGAGACTTTCATGCTATACAACACACATTATACACCAAAGATGCTCAAATGTATGTATGGCTTAATTCCCTTACCATGACGGCCCTGTCGCATAGGTTCAGCTGTGGTTCTCCTGGCACCAAGGTCGCCTTGTGCTGGTCAACGATGGGGGATATTCGTTTTATAACTGCTTCGTACTCAGGGCTGGCAAACCTAGAACAACGTGGAAAAAGAAACCAAACAGGAATTATTATTTAGATGCTTCCACAGTATCTGGCTTCCTGCACCATATGTTTAGGGGACAGCTTCTCGCTTGAAGACTAAGCTGTGGTATGCTTTGGGCTGCTGGAAAACTGATACGATGCACTATGGTGCTTTGCAATCTATGCTGTCTGCCTGTGAGTTTCCAGACACTTAAAGAGTTAGGATTTAAACAGCAGAGCCCCACAACTGACTGTCTGAGGTTGGGTCTCTATGAGAGCTGCATGACAACCCTGCTCTGGGATATTACAGAGGGCGGCACAGACCAGCCCGTCAGGTTCATACCTAGTTGAGCTTCTCCCATTAGGCGCTGGCAGCCACACCCCCCGCCACTGCATGCAAGCCGTTGTGATCCTCGTACCAAGATTATTACTTCAGCAGGTATTTAAGTGGCTTGTGCTATATTTTGTGACACTAATACTTGGTGCTTCTGAAATGGAGGATTAATACCCAAAGATCTCATTTTGTCCATCATATCATGAGTCACACAAGAAACCAAGTGACAAATTGGGAAACAAGGTCCTGTCCCCAGGCTCCCTTTGCTGACAGGCCACGCTGGCCACCGGCCCCACGCTCCAGGAAATTTCCTTCCGTGAAAAGCAATCACGTTCTGAAGCCCAGCGATGTGCCAAGAGTTTCCAGTAAACCCTGTAGATATCACTTCCCCTCGGCAGCCTTCCAGAGAGCGCTGATTGCGGGCATGGGCCAGGGCTCTGCTGGGACAGAACCGGAAGGGAATTTGGAATGACAAGCTCAAGCAAGCTAATCTGTCTCTCTCACACCCAGCTAGCTGTATCCTGGTTTAATGGACACACTTGGAGGTTAGCACCAGGGCTGGCAGCAAGAGTTGGGTGGACCATCACAGTTGCAAAGCTCTCATCTCTCCGCACAACCACCGCTTATTTCTGTTACCAGAAGACTCTAGGGGCTGTTCAGAAAACTAGGGGCCGGCCACAAGCTTTGCAGAGCCCAAAGACCCTGTCTGACCAACACGGCTTTAAACTCAGTTATAACCCAGCTGCATTAGTGGAAAACATAGCTGTGGTCCAGGCAAAGGGTATATAATGCGTGCCAGCCTGTGCTGTCTTCCCATTATGCAGCACGTTGTTTGCCCTAGTTCATTGGGAAGAGGAAATTTTGACCTGACACCAGTTCCTGGCCCTTTGAAAGATCCAGGTGGCAAAGCCCTACTTACTTAAGTGCACTGGGCTTTTCTAACCAGGTACCACCATATTTGCCAAACTTATAGCCAGCTGGTATTTGGTATGGGTTGAAGACATTTCCCCAAAGCACAGTTGGTTCACCCAATAGTTCTGCACCCCTAAAGCAAGGTATAGACTAACGTCGTACTGCATGCTGTATCTTGGCTGAGTTTAAGAACATGCAGCCTAACACGGTTTAGTTAACACTTTTCTGCTCTGAAAGGTGTTAAGAGGGCTGGCGTGTTGTAGTAGCCAGGATGTGTGTAAGAAGCAAGAGTTTTTGGGTGATATCTTCTATTGGACCAACTGCTGGGAGAGATGTCAGCCAAGCTTTCAGGCACAAAGTGCCCTTCTTTGAGGTCTGTGGAAGAAGCAGGTCCACCCTATGCTAAATGCCAGGAAAAACAATGGCTTGTGTTTAACTCCCTAAAGGGGTCAATGCCTGTCTGTGCTGAAGTTTAAAAAACTAGGCTGGAATGCAAAAGACTTATTCAGATCAACGTGGAGGATTTTAAGGCCCAGCTCGACAAAGCCCTGTCTGGGATGATGTAGTTGGGGCTGGTCCTGCTTTGAGCAGGGGGTTGGATCATTTGTGACCTCCTGAGATCCCTCCCAACCCTCTTTTTCTATGATTCTATGACTTCCAAGGCACTCTTCAGCCTGTAAAGTAGCATCCAATGAGCAAGACTAGTCCAGTGTTTTTAGTTGTGTTTAAAAACACGTGAACACAACCTTTAATTAATTATATTTACATGCATGAGTATGTTAAGGGGGAGTGTTCTCTGTTCTGTTTAAACTGAGATCATCTTGCACGATATGCCAGCACACTTGGCCAGGAACAGAAACAGAGCCCCTATCCCCTATAAGCCTGCAGCTTACTCAAGATAGAATTACCTCTTCAGATACACAATATGTACACTGAAGAGTTAGTGTTCATGTCGTGTCTCCACAACACACAATTGGTGACTGTCTAGAGCAGGTTAAAATTGCTCAGAGCCTCAGGGAAGCCTGTTTGGAGAAGGGATTGGTAATAGGAATTTGATTAGCACTCAAGTTACAGGGGTAACTGATCTAAAAGCTAAGCAGCGGGCTGCTAAAGTAACTGGAAAGCTGTCCTACTCATGTGAGTAGTCCCGGCATTGTCTTGGGTGGGAAATGCAGGATCAAGCCTCAAGTGCAGAGCTTGCAGTATTTCCTTTAAAAACGACAATATCCTCCATACAGGTGTTTGAACATTATTGTCTGAGCGAAGCTCCAGACCGCTGTGCCTCCAGGGCATGCTGCATTTTGTATTCTAGTTCAACAAGCCGGCTGAAGGCAAGCTGGGAATAGCAGTGAAAGAATGAGCGCGCGCGCGAGCAGGGGTGAGCAGGTGGTGTTGTGAGGAGTTTGCTAAAAGAGATCCCCCAGTGTACATGAAATTATTCCATGCTCAGAATGAACGAGCAGAGTGGACAAAGTCCAGGGTCATTACACTAATTGACACTTTACCTCCAGGAAGTCTCTGGAGAGCCAATCAGGCTGGATTGCGAGCACTAGGTCCCAGGCACAGGTGTGGCCTGTGCTTAGTTCATTTAGTGTAATTGTGCCTTGGCAATCTGTTCTCATCTCCTCCCTCTCCAAACAGCTCTGTGTGTAACCTGCTCTGTTATTAACCCCACTCTGCCCCAGTGAAATCCTGGTTTTGGGGAAAGGAGAAATGGTTTAATGCTCTCTTAATCAAAGCAAGAGATCATCTTAATCTTCGAATCTTCAGACACGTTCACCTTCTGGTCGGCTACAATTGAGAGGCATAAGGAACAGCCTCGCAACATCTTTCTATTTTTGCTTATCAACAAACCCTCATTGCAAAGCATGCCAGATGCAATATTGTCACTCTTCATTATTTATCCAGATCTTGGTCTTTAAACGCTACCTATTCCTGATGATTAAATACCTCTTTTTTATTAGTATTTCTCATTATTAACTAATCACACACAAAGCCTGACGAGCTGATCCTCAGTGCTGGAGTTTCCTATAGAGCTCCCCCCTCAACTATCTAAATCTGGATCTCATCCTATTATTCAGCCTTCCTTTGTTTCTTGTTTCCATTATCAAGTTCAATCTCAATTTAAAAACTGCTTGGCGGGAGATGGGGCTCTGCTGCCGAGAGGCAGTGAGCTGCCACGATTGGGCAGAAGCAGGAGATTAAGGCAACCAGAAAGAGGGCTAAAATGCACAGAGTACAGACCGTACTGCAGTCATCTTTTATTCTGCGAGTTTCTAGGGGCACTGAATACAATGGCTCCTAAACCTGCTGGATCATGCTGTACTGAAGTATCACAGTGCCTCCAAAACCAACATGCTAACCGTATGCAAACCCCGCCATGGTCTGGTTTTGAGTGATCATCTCCCATCTTTTCATCGTTCTTGGCCTCTGTCTGAGGTTCCAGCTGGCTCCATCCAGGGGCAAGGCCCTTCCCAGGGCAAAAAGACCCATCTATGGAGCTTCCCTCCTGGGTATGTCCATCAGATTCCTCCTGGTAGCTGGCTACCTGCAAACTATCAGCGCAAGCCTTGTCTATTTAGTCTGGGTCGCGTCTGACAAGCAACTGCTCTCTCTTCCTGGGGTAGGGCTTGTTCAGATTTTCACAGCTGCATTTCCTTACATTTGAGCAGTTGATTCTGCCCTCCCCCCATCCCAGTAGACTGGCTTTGTTTAAATGATAGCTGTAAAACACAGAGTCTTCCTGATGTGTGCGCCAAGCACCAGAAAACTTTGGCTAGATGGAGATTTTAAAGCTATCTGGATATCCAGATCTTTGCACAGGGGGAGAGAGAGAGAGGGATGGAAATCCTTAGTCTCACTGCAGACCTGTGGACTGGTTTGTTCGTTCAAGCACAGGTGACAGCAGACCGCACTCATTTAGATGGGGGGCTGCTCCTCCCTTACAAATACAGTGCCGTACAAAGTCCTTTTGCAGGACACAAGAAGTGGGTCTGGACTGCAGTAATCATAGGCATGCCTTAGTGAGCTACAGTTCTAGCCAGTTTAGGGCCTGAGTCTGCAGCTAACCCGTTCTCCCAGTGGAAGAAACAGAAGTAGCCAAGCCACACCATCATCTTCCTTCCTATGTGGGAAAGGGAAGCGATTCTTTCCACTGATTAGGTGCTATGCAGCATGGAAACAGCAGATGAGCCCTTGGTCTTTCAGGTGACGGGCCTCTAGAGAAGGGTCGTCCATCTCCACTGCTCTATCAATTTGCCACCTTCACGAGAGCTCAACATACAAGCTGAAAGGGGAGGACAAGGAAGGAAAAAGGGAAAAAGGAGCAGAGTCCAGGTGTGCTGCAGCACTTTTGTCAGAGGCCTGAAGGGTGCGAGGTTACTTGGATGCAAAGCCCCCAGCCTGACTGCATAACACGGGGTATGTCACAGCCTCCTAGCAGCCAGGCTAAAACAGCTGTTGGGCATGGCTACAGCCTCACTAAAAACCAGATGCTGCCTCTGAGCTCAGCCTCCCCGCATTCTGGGATGCATTTTTCCTAAGCATTTCTGTTTTCCATCACAGCCCTTTGTTTCGCTGAGTGAGTGGTTTAACTCGGGTAGGTGGCGAGGCTGCTTTTCACATGCACCTACTGCTCGTTGCTTGACGGGGTAAGCCTTGCTTTCCTGTGCCTTCTAATTTTGCTGCCAGGACCGATCTGTGGACGTGGCAGGTCTCTGCTGCAGGTTCTCCAGTGCCATATGTCAGCAGTTTGCTGCTTCTGC